CGCCGATAACCGATGGTTATGGTTTTGGTTAAGCAAGTACCATGGGTTTTAGAAACTTAAAAACTATTTATGAAAACACTAATTTGATGCATGAAAAACATATTTTGTTTTGAGCCATGACGTAGAGAAATTGAATGAGCTTGTTACAATAAAATCTAAGTCTTTAGAATACGTCTTCAAAGCGCCAATGTCGCCATCTTTAGCAACGTCAATGCCGTTCTTGTGCTTTTTGTTTCTTCAAAGAACTTTTTCTATCTTTTCATTTTGTTCCATGTTCCCGACGGTTTGTCAATATCAAAACCTAAACGGAAACAAACATTGTCATTAGCAAAATGTCAAAGTGAAAATGTTTTCCAACAATTTCCCCCTTTTTGATAATGACAAACCAAGGAGGGGATATGCAAGCCAAGTTGGGTTTTCAAAAAGAGAGTAATGGTAATTCCCCCTACGTCTTTGAAAACAAGATTCCCCCTCACTTGTTGCATATACCCAAACACTTCCCCCTTTTGGCATTAGCAAAAAGCACTGAGTAAAGTTTAAAAAAAAGTACTCCCTGAGCATTGATGTTTGATACAAAACATCATTGTTGTATGTTTCCCCTGAAACTGATACCATGTTTATAGAAAAAACAATTACCCCAAAACTCCCCTTGATGCAAATTATTAGGTTTTGTGCTTGGAGCATCCACTACAAAAATGTAGTCTTCAAACACACCTACATATGCATCTAATAATTTTTAGGTACCCAAAAACTTTTGGGTCCTTGAGGGTTAGGAAAATAATAATCATAGCTATAAAACAAATCCCTGTGTTTGGTAAAACAAACGGGTGCTATGTGTCCTATCTTAGAGCAATAATGGCAAGTTACATTTGGGTTATGCATATGCCTAGGTTGAGCCAAAAAATTTCTAGGTGATCTAAAATCATTATTCCTAGAATTGTTAATTAAGTTCCTAGACTCATTTCTAGGTTGCCTCAAATTATTTCTATCATTTATAAAAATCTTGGAGTCATTTCTAGGTTGTCTCAACTTATTATTTTTATTCTTTCTTAAATTAATTTTGTTATTCCTAGGATTATTTGCTCTTCTAGGTGGTTTATCATTATTAGCTTCTTCACCAAGTTTCTTAGGTTCTTTTACCTTAAGTTTTTCTATGGTGCTCTTAAGTTCTACATTCTCTATTTTTAAAGACTCACAAGAGGAGCAAGTAGAACTTTGGTCAAAGGAAGAAGATTCATTCATTGCCTTAATTTTATTTTTGAGGTCAAAATTATCATTTTCCAAAAATTTATTTTCCTATTCCAAAGCATGAATTTTTACCTTAGCCTCTTTAGCAATTTTTGAAGTTTTCTTCAATTCACCAAATAATTCTTGAAAGGCTTCTTGTAATTCTTCAATTGAGAAAGAGTTAGAAATACTTACCTCTCCATTTTGTTCATGAGCCATAAGACATAAGGTGGCAGTTTCATCACCTGAATTTTCTGAATCCCATGCCATGTATGCTCGTTCCTTCTTCTTCTTTTCCTTGCGGTATGGGCAATATGGCTTAATGTGGCCAAGTTCTCCACAACCAAAGCACGTTGGAACGGGTTCCCCCTTTCTTTTACAATCTCGGGACCTAAGTTCTTCCTTCAAAAACTCTTGGAACTTTTCGAGCAAGTTATAAGAAGGATTATCGTCATCGCTATCGGAGTCACTTACCTCTACCCTTTTTGAGGATGAGGCTTTGAGAGCGAGACCGGGACTCTTGTGAAGTGAAGGTTTAAGAATAGTAGATTCATAAGTTTTAAGATTACCTCGAAGACCATCGATGGTGACATTGGTGTTACCAATTGACTCATATATGGCATCAGCTTTTGAACGCCATTATGATGTTAAGCTCCGAAGGATTTTTCGAACAAGATCTTTGTTCGAGTATGTTTTACCGAGGACATGGAGATCGTTGATGATCTTTAAAAATCGGTCGAACATTTGATCAACGCTTTCACTTTCCTTCATTTTAAATAACTCATATTCATGGGTTAGAAAATCAATTTTAGCTTCACGGACTTGAGGCGTACCTTCGTATGTAACTTCAAGCTTATCCCACATTTCTTTTGCGGTGGAGCAAGAAGAAATTTTCCGGTAGTCATCCGGGTTAATTGCACAAAAAATCACGTGTTTAGCTTTTTCAAAAGCTTCTACCTTCTTGATGTCTTCAGCATCATATTCTTCCTCCTTCTTTGGGATGGTGGTTTCACCAACCTTTTTTATTGGCATCGTCTCACCATTTTTGATGATTAACCACAGTTGGAAGATGATTGACCGAATGTAAATCCTCATTCGTTCCTTCCAATAGGTGTAGTTTGTTCCATCGAAGAGTGGAGGTCTAATGGTGGAGTGTCCTTCACTTAATCCTGCATACAACATTCTCAACAAAAAAAATATAGATCGTTCTCTCAACCGGTTAAGGCTTGTAGAGATTTAGTCTCTGATACCAATTGTTAGAATAAGTGCCCTTCACTAGAGGGGGGGGGGGTGAATAGTGAGGCACGAGAATGTTTATAAATTTTTGCGGAATAAAAATCGCAGGGATAAAGTAAAAAAACGTAAAAAATAAAGAGCGTAAAAAAGCGTAAAGAGAGCACACCAAGATTTATACTGGTTCACCACAACGTGTGGCTAGTCCAGTCTCCCAAGAGACTCTCTCGAGCTACACTACTTCCGTTAAGCTTACGGGTGCTTAACAAACCGTTACAACTTGAGAACTCGAGTCCCACAAGCCTCAACAACACTTGCTCGGAGATGCCGCACTCCAAGACTTCAACCCGAAGGAATATGCCCTTCCTTCGTACAACCAAGGGAACAAACCTCCCTTAAAGTTTTCACAACACTTAACCACTCAAGAAAAAAAACTCTCTTAAAGAGTAGAATATGAGTAAACTAATTTAGATCAAGAACACACTCAATTCCTCAAGAAATGACTCTAAAAAGCTATGTAAAAGTTTATGGAATGATGCAATGTAAAGATATGAAATGTGTGAGGAATGGATGTGAAAAGTAGACCCAAGAGACCCCTTTTTATACCCAAAAACAAGGTGCAACGNTGAAAACACTAATTTGATGCATGAAAAACATATTTTGTTTTGAGCCATGACGTAGAGAAATTGAATGAGCTTGTTACAATAAAATCTAAGTCTTTAGAATACGTCTTCAAAGCGCCAATGTCGCCATCTTTAGCAACGTCAATGCCGTTCTTGTGCTTTTTGTTTCTTCAAAGAACTTTTTCTATCTTTTCATTTTGTTCCATGTTCCCGACGGTTTGTCAATATCAAAATCTAAACGGAAACAAACATTGTCATTAGCAAAATGTCAAAGTGAAAATGTTTTCCAACAAAGACTTTAATTCGAATTGTATGAACCTATTAATTTCCTATACTTAAAAAATAATCACCTACGTATAGGTATAAGTACTTCGTATTATATATGTGTGGAAGTAGTAATCTGTTTATCTTTTAACGTGTACCGTAAAAATGATTGCATTTGGAAGATTGATGAATACTTGAAGAACTATTTATGGACTTTTGAAACTTGAAGGACTGCATGCGAAGGGTTATGAATACTTGAAGGCCGGATTATTTATGTATTTTTAAAACTTGAAGGACCAATCATGTACAGATCATAAAATTAAAGGACTAATTGTGAATTTTCACGTATATATTAATTACTTCATTAACAAACTTGAAATTTTGGCACCAAAAAAATAATGCAGTGGGGACCTAGATGCTGTTATGTCAGTAACAACAACCAGGCTTGCAATTAGCAGTATGAAACTTCATGTGGTGACGGCTTGGCGTCCCTGGCATTCTGACCACACTCTACAGGTTTAACTACTTCAATTCTTGAACAATTCTTACTTGGATTAAGCTATGTGTATCCCAAGATTTATACTCTAATTTGTACCCCGTAGGTTTGCACCTTCATTTTGTGTCAGTGTAATGCTAGAGTGATAGTTCACACTGACACAAATTGTTAGTACAAATTTTTATTAACCCACCAGAATTTTGTGTCAGTCTGAACAATAAAAATGTTAGTGTATATTTCTGGTATAACTTTAGGGTACAAATTTTGGTATAAGTGTAGCATGGCCCTTCTTACTTTATATGGTGTCATCCGTGGTGTGACAATAGTATAAGTGAATAATGATGCAGGATGTGGGGGGATACGTGGAAGGCTACGAGGGACTTACACTAGTGACGATACGAGGAGCGGGGCATGAATTCGCTAGCTACCAACCACGACGATCGCTGGCTTTGATTTCGTCTTTTCTTCGAGAGGAATTGCCTCCCCCCCCCCCCCCACATTTAGTTAGCTAGAGAACAAAAGATGATATTATGA